TTTTAAGAAACTTATATACTCAACTTAAGCAAGATTCAGCAACTAGTAAAAATGTTGAAGAGCATGCAGCAAATTTATATAATGTTAGTACTGAGAATATATTTGTAAAAATATGGGATAATAACCAAGTATTAGAAGAAGATGAAGTTATCTGTTATTTATACTATTCTGATGAACCAAAAAATATTGATTCTTTGATTTGGTAGAAAGGATATTAGATAAGTTATTACTTGTTATCACAACTAGTACGTAAGTATCTTTCAATACCTGCTACATCCGTTCCTAGTAAATGACTCTTTTTTGATACTAGTAACCATATTTTGGCAAGAAGAACACAATTAGCATCTAGCTTAGTTAATAGTATCTTATTTTTAAAATGTAATACTATATATTTTCCTATGTTTCTACCTTTAGAGGCCAATGAATAGTTCCTTTTTTTTGCTTGAATTTAATAAAATTAATTTGATAGAAGTTTTGTTATTCTAAATAAATTAAAAATACAATAAATAAAAATAGTAATTATAAATTATAGAAAGCACAATAATCTAAAAAAGTCTTTTAGTTAAATTATTTTTTTAAAATATTCAAATAAACTAATTTTTTTTAATCAGTCTACTTACAGTTGTAAAGATTCTTTTTCGAATTTATATAATATCATGAAAATTCTCAATAATCCCTAAAAAATTTAATTAAATTAGAAATTCTTATTCATATTAATGTCAAAAATAGTTTTACAAAACAAAACCTAAAAATGCAAATTATCATTATGGCAAAATTCATGAATTCATATAACTAATCATAATGAATTATTAAATCTATATCATGATATGCACGTTATATCTGGTTATTGATTAATAATCTGAATTTAAATCTGAAGCTGCAGATCACTAATTAAATAAATCTAGATTTAAAAAAAAATCTAGTTCCAAACTCTAATCATGCATTTTTCTTTTTAACTATTTTAAATATATTTAATTTATTTCAAATTTTGCTAACCAACATGGACTTCTATCACCCAGTAAGCAATTTATCATAGTGCATAAACTTCATAGTAAAACTTTTATATGATTGGCAGTTTAAATTAATTTAATTTTACATTATTTATATATTTTATAAAAAAAATAAAACTATGAAGAATAGGGTGTAGTAACTTAGTAAAGTGTTGCACCTCCAAGCTAGCATGACTATAGTACCAAGCTCAAATCCCACTAAAAATATTTCAGACAAAAATATCTGTGTTATGGTGATGGATCTCTCAAATTGGGTTGGGTTTATAACCTGTTACTGGGGTCACACCAATGCCTCTGGACACTGGAAGTTTTTAAAAGCATTTATGTCATTGCATAAAGAAATACAAACTAGTTTAGATAGCGCAAACCCACAATAAGCTTTCTAAGGAATAAAAAATATTAAAGGTACCTATACACAAAACCTAGAAATCTGAAACCAGCTTGGGAAACCTCAGCTCTTGGAGAAGTCCTGAGTAAGAATTAGTAGCTTTTGATAGTGCTGTAGAAGCTATTTAGAAATAGAAAATTTATGTGACAAAGATCTTTGGCAAAAGGATCTACCAACCAGACTGCCAGGGTTACTAGAGCTACACTAGATATATATTCATTGGTTACTTCAGTATAGGGTGTATAGTGAAAGATCCTAGGATGAGACTCCAGTGGAAAAGAACTCGCATTATAAATGCTTGTACCAAGCATCAGGAGACCTTCAAACCTGAGATTGAAACCCTCAGGTTTGGGCAAACCAATTTTCCAGGCCATCTAAATTGAAAGACCAAAGACCAAAGTATAGAGTACAAATGTAGATACTGGGTCATAAACCCTACAAGGGGTAAGAAGTAATAATAAGAGGACTAATTAGGAAGATTGTGCTTGAGATTCAGATTGTGTTATAGCAGCACCCCAAAGGTAGCATGAGATATAAACATAATGGTGGCAGACAATATATACTAATTAGAATAAGTATTACTGAACACACACGCACTGTGTGTAGGGCATGATATTTGGTATCAGGTTTACCTCATAAATCATCCAAAAGAAGTTCTAAGGTAGGATGCCAAAATTTAAAGGTATTGCATAGATCCATAGTCTATATATAATGAGGTTATATATAGGTTAAGTAGAAAGAGCTTGTGGTTATAACCAGAAAGTTTAAATAGGTAACTCCATAGTTGGGTTGTAGCTATGGCAATTAGTGTAGAACCTTCAGGCAGATTACTTAAATTAGGCACCAAAAGTATATGTGTGGCTAGTTGTATTTTTATTATAATTGTAATAAGTTTTTAATATCTAATAAAAAGGTTCCCAGGCTAAAGAGGTCACCTTAACAAGGGAAAAAAAAAAAAACTATGAAGAATAAATAAAAAAGAAGTATATATACATAGAAAGTTTATTATAGTTGTTGGATTTTATTATTAAAAATAATTCAAATCCCTTTTTGTTTTAGAGAAGTTAACATGGTAATAATGTAATTTTATCTGTCTTTAAGAAGTCACTATTATGCTAACTTCTCTAAAACAAAAGGAGATTTGGATTATTTTTAATAATAGAGTTTAACAACTCTAATTAAACTTTCTATACATTTCTTTTTAATATATATAAATTAGTAATAAAATATGTTTCTTGAAATAATTAAGTTGAAAAAATATAGTTTACGAAGTGAAGAAGATATTGTAAGAAAAAGGTTGAAGAAATAAATAATTGTATATATAATCAGGAGTTAGTAAATGGTTGTGAAGATGAGCAAGTAGATTGTGTTTTGAAGTATTTGTTTAATCAGAAAGCAAAGTATTCACAATAATTAGAGAGAATAAGAATGTTGCATTGAGTAGAAAGTTTTGACAAAATTGTTGGTAGTGAGAATATTGCAAAAAGTAGTTAAAATATAGATTTTATAATAATAGAAAAGAAGTAGTATTTGAATACAAGAATAAGAAAAAGAAAGTTATATAGTTTGTTTTGTTTTGTATTGAGTTGAATTAGTTATTATATATATTCAAATTTTAATAAAGTTTAAAAAAAAAAAAGTTAAAGTTGTAAATTGAAAAGAAAAAAGGAGAAAATAAGTATCTTATAATTTTATATAAGCTACTTAAATAGGTAGATTGCTAATATGTTATAGATAATAGGGTAAATAAAGAGATATATATTTTAAGTGAAATAATATTGATTAAAATTTTGTAAAATTCAAAGAAAAAATGTTTGGGCAAGTAATAAAAGAATAGTTAGAGAATTTGAAAAAATAAAAAGTATAATAAATTGTATTTGTTAAGAAATTTATTAATGCTTATCTCCTCAGAAGGGTGAGATAATTTGGTATCTGAGAGAGAATAAAACTTCTACAAAAACATTCATCATATACCCAACTTTCACAGCTATGCAAGAATCTAGATTCTGCTCTGTGCATTACTTAGTATAATTATAATAGCCTATTGATGTATATAAAAAATATATACACATAATTTTTAACTACTTTTTCACTTCATATTGTCTTATATAATTTTATATTTGTTATTGTTCCATCTATACCCACTAGTCAAAATAAAAAAATTAATACCAGTTTACCCTAGTTGAAATTATATTAATTAGCTACTAAAATGCTAAATATATGCTGGTTTATAATAGTATTTGGTTAGTCAATCGCTGAATAGTGATAGAACTTGTAGATCACATACAAATTGTTTACAAAATGCTAGTATATATTTAGCACATTTAGAAACCAATTTATATAATTTTAATTAGAATGAATAATCTTGTATCAAAAGCTAAATTTGGTAAAAACAAATTGAATTAATAAAAGTTAAATAGTGTATATTAAACAATAATCTCATATATTGAAATTTTTTACTGATATAGTTCTTCTAAAGATCTAAGCTACTTTCTAAAAGATAGAATATAAAATCAAGCTGAGTTGATACAAGAAGTATAATAATACATCAAGTTAGAAATAGTATTAGTTCTCTTTTGAAAAGCTAAACTATACTTGAAAAGTCAAATATAAAATTCTCTAATCAATACAAGAAGCATGATTATATAACAAAAATTATTAGATATAGTATTAGTTCGATTTTGAGGGTCTAAGCAATACTTAAAAAGTTGAACATAAATTCAACCACTTGATACAAGAAATAATATTAATTTCTTTTAAGTATCTAAGCCTAGATTTGAAAGATTAAATATAAGCTCAAAGTCAGAAATATGCTAAAGATTGTATAATTTTTTTTTTATAAGAACTTTAAAAAATAATATTAGTTTTTACAAAAACAAAAGTAAATATAAAGTAAAATTGTTCTATACTTCTACTCCATACTACTATCCTTTATTTCCAATTTTTTGTACTCTCTGCCAAGATTGTAATCTTAACATTCACTATATAACTAGTTATTATATTTTAGAAGTATCAACCCACTTTCTTGAAAAAAAGAAAGCTAACAAACAACTTAACTTTAATACTAACTACATTAATTTTATTTACTCTACAGATATTAAATACTCTTTATATATACTACCCTCTTCTACTATTAATATTATTGACTTAATTATCTTAAATATTTTTTATAAAAATAAAGCTTCTAAAAAACTATCTCATATTGTTCTTTCTAATGTTTTTTTTTTTTTTTGTTTTTTTTTTTAAGAGAGGTCTTTCCTCTATTCCTTTATTTCAAAATATATAATTGAATACAACTCATACAAATTTATACATTTAACGAAAAGGAGTAGAAGTTAGGGCTCAGGTTTACTCTTGACCTATTTTTAGCTAGAATGGTCGAAAACCTCTAGGCTATATAATTAAGGAGTGGGGATGTAGAATTATTGTAAATAAATTTGTTAATCCATGCTAATAATTGTCTATCTGTGGAGTTGAGAAGAGTATTAGTTTCTAAAGGGGTAATGATAATTAAGGGGTTAGGGGTAGACTGTTGTATACAGGTTCGGCTTGGTTTTCATATTTCTTTATGTATACTTTTAGTGATTGTGTAGTATATTTGTGAAATTACAGTATTGTTTTGAAGGGTTAACCCTAGTTTTGTGAGTATTGTTGAACTAATAAACCCAATTGGGATTTGTTTTTTGATATGGATTGTGGTGAAGTCTTGTATGAACTCATAAGTTGTTGGTGTGCTTATCTTATTTGTTTGGCATACTTTAGTTATTGCTTTATGTATGATTTATCAATTTTAATTAGGTTGTGTAGA